TCAGAGCTTCCCAGCTCTCACAGGACGTGCACAACCTCTTGGGCTGGTGTCTGTTTTCCTTCAGTCATCCACCAAGCTATCAGAGCCGGCGCCTACTTAATCACAGCTCACCAGGTCATCCGGAATGAGCTTTCCAAAAGACACCGTCTTTTCCAATACCAAAAGGCCCACCGGGTTGTCAGGTCTAAGCCCGCAGGACTCACTGTCCTCCAACAATTCAAAACCCACCGGGTCATCCAGAATGGGCCAGCAGGGCTGAGCCAACTGCTCGAGCCTGCACAGGACTCACTGTCCTGTCTACCAGATCCTCCAGCTAAGCTCTGTAGCACTATAGACTGAAGTCACGCTTCCTGACTATCAGAGTCAGAGCTCCCCTGGATTCTCACCAGTGCTACAGCTAGCAGCAACAAAGTCCCTTCAGTTTTGAGTTCCAAGAAACTACTGTCCCTGTGTCCAGTACTCCCACCCTCATGGTCAATGGGACGTAGTTAACAATACCGAGTAGATAATAATGCAAATAAAACAAAACATACTAATGTAGTAAGATGTACAAACATAAGTAAGTAAGAAACCTTTATTACAGGATTGGCTTTTATTACAGGATAGTTTATTACAGGATTGGCTACAGGAGTTGTCTCTGGTGTGAGATCTGAGATACAAATTGATCTGAGATATATGACTGGCTCTTGGAGCTGGAAGTAACCTGAATATCTTGTGATCTTTGGTGTAGGTGACCATTTAACACTAAGTCCAGCTTGCCTGGGTGGCGAGATAGACTGGAGAGCCTAAGGGGACTGCCAGTGACTCCATGGTAAGACTGTTATAGTGATCCAGGAGTTCACATTTGTTACTGGGTTGGTAACTTCTAATTATAGAACACACCACCAGTTTGTTTTTTCCCCACAGTCCGCCCTGGGGTAGGCACACACAGTCATGAGCCACTCCAGACAGTGTGACAGGTTTGCCTACCTGTGCTACAATTACACCTCCAATTGCAGCATAGACATCCTCTAAGTATCCACTTGACAGCCAAGGGAGTGACTGTGAGATCTTCAGACTGGGACTTAGGTAGAGGATGAGAGAGACGAACAATACAACAAGAAAAAAGTGCTTCTGTCAGATAGTCTGAGGTTTGACCCAGGTGACGGTTGTGCAGCTGGTATTTGCAGCCAGCACAAACACATGGCCTAAAACAGAGGTCCCCAAAGTGTCCGGCTTGCCCCCCTGGGGGGTGTGGAGGACCATCCATGGGGCACGGCAGGGCCTGACGAGCCTCCATGGGGGTGGGGAGGGAGTGCCATCCAGCCCCTCCCCACCCCCAGCTCTGCTCCACTCCGGCCCCCTGCCACATCCCCAACTCCCAGCCCCGCACGCACCTGGCCACGGCTCTGTTCCCAGTTCAGGGCTGAGGCTGGGGGCAAGGCCAGGAGTGGACCCACATCTGCCCATGGGGCCAGCTGCAGCCCATAACCACAGCATAATCCCAGACCCGCCCCCAGCCTTGGCCCCAGCCTTGGCCCCGTTACCTTTGTCCACATCCCCTTCCCTCCCCCTGAGCCGTGTCCCCACTCCTGGCCTCAGCTCAGGGGGGCCGGGGTGCCGTGGACAGGGGTAAGCAGGGTGTGCGACCCTCAAAAGTTTGGGGACCACTGGCCTAAACTATGTAGGTGTTGCTTGGTTTAGGCCAGGGCAGCATTTCTGCAGTGTTTGGTGTTTTGTTTTGTTTTTTCCCCCTCTAGCCTGTCTGCTAGAGCTGCAGGAGCAGCAAGTGGTTTCTCTAGTGGATGGTATGTCCAGACGATGAGATGCTCTGAGACCTAGCAGGGCCCTGTTGCGCAGAGGCCTGTATTCTAAGTTGTCCAAGGTAACATAAGTTTAACTTGGCCTGTTATGTAAAATTGTTTATGAAAGTCAGCAAAAGTTGAAGGGAAATAGTTGGCCCAAACTGGATTGTTTAGGATAAAAGAGCTGTCCTAACGGGACTCCAAGGCTCCTGGTAAAGTCATAGGTAGGCATGACAATAAGCTGAAGGATTCTAATAATGGCAGGAAATATTTATAATTGTTTTGATTGGTAATGTTAATGGCGTGCAGTTGCCCTCCCCTCTTGGATGTTGTCTGTTTGGGGGGAGAAGGGGGACAGGTGAACTGGAAGGAATGAGCTTCACCATCATGTCTGCCAGCCACATTGTCACCTGGGACCCTGTTGGGTCTTTGTCTACTGTGACACTGTTGGGTCTTCCTCTCCCTGCTCTGGTCAGGCTCTGACCAGACTAGGCCAGAAAGCAGGAACCACATGACATCATCACCTCCACTGTTACCTGCACACTCTACGGCACCCACCTTTACCCTTCCGTGGGCTCACGGTAAATCTTACGTTCTGTGAGTTTGTGGGGTCTTTTTACCAGTGAAAGAGCCTTACACAGTAATATCCTTAACCTCTATTTATTAACAATCACCAAAACAGAATGCAAACACTAAGCATACAATGCTCACCGCTCCCAATAAGGCAGACAAACTTTTCCCACTGGCCAGTCAGGATCAGGTCGTCCATGGAATCCAGCTTCTCATGATATAGTTGGCAGGGTGCTAAGGTCTTGCAGTTCTGATCTTGGGCTGTGTCCTGGAGTTGGTTCCAAAGAACTTCCTTTGGGAGTCTAGTTTATATAGTGAAACTGGAGTCCTGTTTACCTGTACCTTAACCAATCATTTTACTAAAGTATTACAAAACAATTCTTCACCCAATCATACCCCACCACCTTGGCTGATTTACACCTTGCAAAATTTGTTTCTGTTTGTTACATAACTATCAAAGAACCAGACAGAAATGACACAGACAAACCATAGAGAAGTAGGGACCATAAAGGCAAAACAATAAAGAAGTAGAGATTTCACACCCATAACTAAGTGATTCCTTGCCAGACAGAATGCTGTCAGACAAAGTTTTCTTTAAATGTCTTAAGATCTGTTTCTTTATCTGGTGATGCTGGGTGCTATTAGGACAGGATCGCCTTCTTAACAGCCCAATATTACATTGTTTTAATATAATTTAGATGGGATGTGGGAATGCGACTCTCTGCTTCTTAGCTCATGGCTGCTGCTCTCCTAATATGGCTGCAGAAAAAGGCCCCAGACCTTACCCACCAGCTTCATCTAAATCCCAAACACTACCTGGAATATGAGACTTTGGTTCCTGCTGTCATACTCCCTCCCACACGTGTCCTTTTTCCTTCTTCCCCCCGCCCCCACACACTTCTCTTTCCTCTCTCCCTTTTGCCTCTGTCTAATAACACTGCTTATCTTAATCAGCCAAGACAGCTCCACCCTTTGCAATACTGCTGTGAGCCTGTAATCATAAAGGTGGCTAAAGGGAAAGCTTTAAACTGCCTGACACTGATAAAAGTCTACCAGGTCCTGAGTAGCTGATGAGACTCTGTGCTGTGCCATTTTTCTCCAGTAGCCATGTTGTAAGGGAAAGTCAACACCTGAGACAGAAGCCGCACTTTCTATATTTTCTGTTCTTTTCTTTCCCCTTTTGTGTGTGTGTTAGTCTGGTTTTGTTTTGAAGGAAAGAGGATCAGATTCCAGCAGCCTCCAGCCCATTTCGACTAACTTTTCCTCCTTTCCCGAAAAGGACATTGTCACCATTGTTAACACCATCTAAAAGCCTGTCAGAAAGGGGGTTTTCCTTATAAAAACTAGGTACAGTTACAGGGAAAAGGAATAAGGGATATTGTTAAAACGAAAGCCTCACATAAGGCCAGGTCTACACTACGGCATTACTTTGGTATAAATACATCGCTCAAGGGTATGAAAAGTCCCCACTCCTGAGCAACGAAGTTATGCTGACTAAGTGCTGGTGCGGACAGCGTTGTGTCCGTGGCAGAGCTTCTCCCCCTAACATAGCTACCGCCTCTCGCGGAGGTGGATTAACTACGCCGAGGGGTGGGCTCTCCCCCATAAGCGTAGAGCGTCTTCGCTAACGTGGCACAGTTGCATCAGTGCAGCTGCGCCAAAGCAGCGTTTCAAGTGTAGACCTGCCCTCATACTTTACATTTAAAATGCTTTAATGGATTTTTCCTTCTTTTTGTGTGCCTTCAACAAAGATTTACAAAGATTTGTAATGGTGGCTGTTGCAAAGGGAATAAGCCAATAACAACTTGACACTAAACCCCACACCACACTTAACTGTTTAATGCTGTAACAGGGATCAGGAGCTTTCTTAACATCATATCCCTTGTTGGCCCCAGACCCCCTCTTTTCAACACAGCAGCCCCCAAGACCAAATCCTGGGGGAGAATGAGGCACTGCACTCTTCCCACGCTCCACAGGGCTCCTTGTGTCTTTCATAGCAGACTCCTTCCTAAATGCTCAAGAGGGTTTTGAAACACCTGTGTGTTTGCACAGTACTGCTAATTATGGGTGAACCTCACTAAGCCTGGAGTTCAGTTTCAGTTCAAATATTCAAAGTTCAAATGTTTCTGTGAAGCTAGTCTAAAGCTTTTCAAAGGAGGTGTTTATGCTATCTACATAACACACCTCCTCTCAGCAGACCTCAGCTACTTCTTAAACCTGCTGACTAGTCCCTGAAGACCCTGGAGGGTGATAGCTGGTTGCTGGGTCTTCTTTCTTTCTCACCCAACAAGACCTCCGAAGGCAGGTTAAATGTGGCAGCAGGAGAATAGTAAGACTTCCCCACATCCCTTCTTCTGGGACATGAAGGTAGAGGTCAAGGTCCTTAGCTGAACATCAAAGAAACATGTGGCTCAGGTTCTGTTCTCAAGTTGGGACAAAATTGGGGGGAAATTCTGGAATTTGAGGCTTGCACTTTCCTAATCCCTGCAAGTTGTTCCTCAACCCTGGTTGAAATAATGGACCGAGAACTAGTTCCACTCTGCTCGTGTGTGTGACAGAAATGGAAAAGTTTTGATGAGCAAGAGGAGGAGGAGGGGACAAGAGGTGCCAGGGCTGTGCTGACGCACCAAAAGGCTGCTGATTAGAAGTAGAACTTCATCTCACTGGCCAGGAGCTTTCTTCACGCAGGGACAGTTTGGAGATACGATTTGGAAAATGGACTTTAGGGGGATTTTTCTAGCCAAGTGCCTGGTGGTTTTATTCTCCTGTGTAAAAGGTGAGTTTGCACCGGCTTTTTGCTCTTTCAGGCTGACTTTGCTTAAAATTGCACTTAAAGTATTTAACAATCTAGCTCAGTTTTAACACCCATTCCTTGTACCCAGACAAGGGTGATGGATATCTTAACAGGGTGCTGAATTAGGCCCATCTGTGCCACAATTAAATTGACTCAGGGATCCAGTTCCAATACGGCTATAATTTTCAGGGTGGATGGGACCTATAACTGCATTGTCCCAGGGTTTCACCCAGTTAGGAGAATCTGGGGTGGTCTTGTCCACACGGCACATTTTAAGCCTCTCCCCTGACTCAGTTATAGTTGAGGAGCAAGTTATTATCAGTATGTTTTAGATTATTCTTTTGATAGTGCTTTTAATATAGAAATGTGTAAGCACAATTAAAAGTGACTGATCCCATCTCTGCCACACATCTTCTGCTTAAAGCTAAATAGTGAAGCTTGGGGCAAGATGGATGGTCTGATAAAAATGCTTGGATCTTACTTAAATATCATGGGCCACATTCTTCCCTGGTTTAACTCTACTAAAATCACAGATGAATTTGGCTCCTTGTCTCTACGAGAATTATCGCTATTGCCACAGCAAGTGCAGTGCAAATAAATCATTTAAAGAGTGTTACACAGCCCTCTGAACTGTAGCTAGCTCGTATGAAGCTGCGAAGATCAGATATTTGGGGAACTGGCAATGGGACCTTTAGGGTAAAATCCTGGCCCCGATCCTTGGCCACTTACTTTAATAGAGCCAGGATTTCACCCTAAAACTCTCAGGGCTTGATCCTGAAAAGTTGTCAGCACTCTGTCCCCAGTCCAGGCAAAGCGCTTAAATACATGCTTCACTTTAAGCATGCGATTAGCCCCACTGACTTCAAAAGAATTATTCACGTGCTTAGATTGAAGCATGTACTCAAATGCTTTGCTGTTGGGGGCAGAGTGCTCAGCAACTTGTAGGCTCAAGCCCTCAATGTTAAGCACATGGCCTCACTTTTCCCATTGGTAAAATGGAGACAATGATATCTACCTTCCTTTGCAAAGTGCTGCAAGATCTCTTGGCTATTGTTATTTTATTTAGCTTTCAGCCCGGGGGATCCCATGACCAGAGCTTGCTATTATAATATTTATACTACTCGCTTCAAGTTAACAATCCTTTATCTGACACGTATTAATATAGGTAAGGGTCAGCATGGAGTTTTTCCTACTGCCCTCCGTGAAGCTGCTGCATTTTTTTCGTAACTCTGTTCAAGAGAGACTTCACTGTGCATCATGTAGACCCATTGCTCTTTTCTAGTATCAAAGGGAAACAGAACTGTTGACAGTGCAAGAATTTTTTGCACAGGAATATTAACAGAATGTTTGTATTTATCACCCTATCCTATGGTAGGGCGGGGTTGGTCTAGGTTGTAAATTACAGTGGGTACATATATATTGGTATTATTATAGTTATAGCAATTATTTTTAAAAACGTTGATCTCAAAATGTAGTTGCCATTTTGGCTTATAGATTAGAACAAGTAGTAGTGGACTCAGTACACAAGCAGCCTTCATGAATGACAGGAATAAATCCAACAGTAGATCATTTATGATGGTGGTTTAATGTTTTCTAGGTACAAGGACTAGATAAATAAGGAATACATTCTTGCTATGGGCTTAAAACAGACTCTCGATTTACTTGAATGACTCTATTTGTTCAAAACGTTTGGAACTTTACAAGTGAATACTTCTTTTCTCTGATGGGTACAGTACTATACTGCTCATGAATCATCCCATCCTCTTTGTGACGGCAATGGAGCAGTTTGTTGCTAGATTCTGATCACTCTGGCCTTTGCAGAGTATTTCACTCGGCACTATCGACAAATTATGTTCCATTGTCTATACAGAGGACTTAGTGTTGTTTGTTTGGAGTGCTCAGACTTCTGTTCCACTGATTCGGGAGGCCAAGCAAACTTTTAAAGACCTAACAGGATTGTCTGTCAACTGGAATACTATTGAGCTTTCCTTCCTCAGGATTTTGATCAACTTTTCTGCCATCTACCCCTGCAAAATATAAATGATAGAATATGCAATACAAATAATAATGAGTAGTAATAACTCTAAATATCTTGGAGTAATTCTGAGGAGTAGCAAGTATTTGTATTACATTTTTTTTTCTTTGTCAAAAATTCTGCAGGTTTTACAAAGGGCTTTGGTGCTCCTGTTAACACTTATTGGGAGAACCAATATTATTAAAATAGTGACACTTCCAAGAGTGAGTGATTTCAGAATGTTCCATTAGAAATGCTGAATGCTTTTTAAGAAACTTGATAGCTCAGTAATAGCTTCCCTTTGGGCTGGCGGATGCATTGCATGAAACTCTTCATCCTCTCACAGGCTCTAATGGGCCGTCCCTCTCAGATTTCTCGAATAATTATTTTGTTGCACAAGCATGATAGTCTAATTTTTTTGATTTGACTCCAATATTATTATTATGTAAAGCAGCAATTAGTTTTCCGTTTTCCTCGCTGTGATGTATTTTATCATATCCTAGATCTAATGAAAACTTTATAATAAAGGATTATATATTATAATAAAAGATTTATAAACCTACCGGTAGTTTCTCTCTATAGGGAAAAGAACTCACACGGTGCAAAAATATTTCAACGTAGCTCACCCTGCCCACCACTATAGCTTTATCCTATAGATTAGAGGGGAATTAATTTAGCAAATGGAAGATTGAATAATCCCTGGTTATGAATGAAAGTTTTGCTGTTAATGAATTTATTTTATTTGAAACTTACAAGCATGTATTTAACCCGTCTGATAGTTTCAATATTATTTATCAACTTGCTTCTGCAGTACGGACTAAGGATCTACACAAATGTTTGTGTGGCGTCAGCTTCTCATCTGAAGTCACCTTCAGGCAAAATCTGTGCTCTAAAAACCCAATCGGCTATTACTGCACTATTCAGTATGCCGAGGCTGTGATTTTTAGATTTAGATTCAGTTTGAGATAAATGGGCATGCGTTCTTGTGACAGAACATACCATGGGAAGATGAATGCTTCTTTATACGTAACAACATGAATAAGGCTAAACAGCCTTTACCTTTCTTAGTAATATCAATATTTAGCCCTTATGTGACACCTCACATCTTCAAGTGCTGAACAACCACTTGCAGTAGCACCCTTGTGAACTGGGTGTTATCCGTTTTGCACAAAGGTGACCTGAAAAGAGGGAAAAACCTGCCCTTGGGTCCATGTTTATCAGGTGATCGTACCCATGAAATAGAGCTCTGGGAGGGAGGGAGTGTATCCTGTAGTCACAGCCTTGCGGGAGGCAGGACCTCTGGGTCTTACTCCCACCTCTGTCACTCACTGTGTGACCTCAGGCAAGTTGCTTAGGCCAAGATTTTGAACAGTGACTAAGGATTTTCAGCGTTCAACTTAAGACCCATTAAAGGAGGCTGATTTTTCAGAAATCGCTGAGCAGCTGGTCTTTAACCTGTCCCAAGTTTAAATTGAGGCACTCAAAATCACTGGTCACTTGAAAATTTTGGCCATGGGTTTGAGTCGTCAGAAGTGTTTTTAGTAATTCTGGCTGCCTCTGTTGTGGGTGCCATCTTGAGGCACATACAATACAGCCTGATTTGCAGAGGAAGTGCATGCTCACCAGCCTTATTGACTTGGCGCGGCAAGTGCTCAGTGCCTTTGAAAACCAGGCCCAAGGGGTCTTAAAATGACCACCTCCAAAACCAAGGCACCCCTAAGGGCACTTCTGAAAATTTGGCCCTTAACTTCACTGTGTTCAGAATTAAAATGGGGTTTGGGATGCTTAACTAAATAATGTTTGGGAGCTGCTTTGAGGGCCTGAGATGAAAGCAGCTATATAAATGCCCACCCTTATCAATGAGGAGTGGTTTGGGAAATAAGGGAAAAGTGGGGCGTTTAACTTTGTGACCAAGTTATTTAATGCTGCAGTGTCTACTGTTAACTCTCATCCATAGACGCTTTGGACAGACACTAATCGGGCTGTATTGTTCTTCCCCTGTTTGAAGGTTCTGCAAACGAAGTGTACGGTGTTCTGGGTGGTTCTGTTTTCTTGAACGTTTCTGACTTCAAAGTGGAAAAGCAACATGACATAACATGGCTCAAAAATGCATTATTCCTTGCGAAGATCAAAAATTCTACAGTGAAATATTACAGGGAAAAGGGAAAGTATATGATGTCCCTGGATGATGGAACCCTGCAAATAGACCGCCTGGTGGAAGAGGACAGGGGAAATTACACAGTGAGAGTGTACGATGACAAGGGACAGCTGCAAATGGAGAAGAACTTAAATCTGAGCTTTGAGGGTGAGTCACCTTCCACATCCTTCCCACCATAGCTGGATGAGTCCCAGTCTCTCCTTCTGCTGAATGGGTCTTCATCCTGTTTCCTTGTGGTCTCTAATTTTGCTGCGTGGGCTCCTTTTCACTGAAGGGCTAGCTCTTCTGCTTCTATTCCCTTTCTCTGTTCCTGGGTGGGTTCCTCCTTTTCCTCTCTTGCCAGGTGAGTCTCCCTGTTCCCTTCTTTCCCTCTATTCAGTCCCTCTGCTGTCTGATTTCTTCTCTTTCACATCAGCCACGAACTCTGCCAGGCAAACAGACCTGCACCGGTATCTATGAACAATGGAAGAAGTTAGCTCAGGTCATACTGAGCCTTTGTTTTGCTACTTAAAATATCCAGGAATCCAGGTGTTTATATATACATTTGGGAGGGATGGAAGGCTGGGGTCTAACTTGGGGCGGCGGGGGGGAATGGTGGTAGGACCCTTCCAAGCTCCTCCCACAAATTAATAACCCACTTGAGACATCAAATTGAGATGCCACTCATGATGGATTGTGGAGATGTTTGAACTGTTTGCACGCTCTGCTGGGCTCGGCTCCCCTAACTGGGGTTCAAATATACCCATGGACTCCGCTAGGCTCCTTAAGCTTGTGTGTCTTATGGAGGAGAACACATTTTGGAGCCCAAAATGACCGCTCAGGAGAGTGCTGGTACGCGTGCTACTGCCCAGTTCAAGCCCTGATTTCACAACAGACGGTGAAACCTTTCTTAAGCAGCCATTCAAGGGACTGATACCTCTGGGTTGTTTGACCAGTGGGATGTGGAGCAGAACTGTGCTCTGTACATTTGGAAGACTTAGGCAGTCTCCTAAAACAGGAGGCTGCTGAAAAATGCCTGAGATCTTTCACAAATTTCTGTAACATGAAGATTTTCCTTCTACAGTACTTTGCTCTCACGCCTTGCTTTTGAGCCTACCAGCTTGCTTGCATGTTTACATCCTGCCTTAATGTTGAACTGCTGCATCGGAAGCCTGACCATTAGTAAACGATTCAGTAACTGGCCCCCTATTTATTTGTAATTAACTGGGTCGCCTGTTTACTATTCACCTGTTCCATCCCTTATAAGCAGGGCGGGTTTGAATTTTTTTGTATTTAGAAATTCTGACAACATTTTGAATTTAAAAAAAAAAAGGGAAATGTTTGAAATTTTTTTTCTTGTGTATTGACCAATTATTACAGCTGATTGGAATCTTCTGGATGTCAAGATTTTGATGACATTTAAAAAATTTTAAAGAAAAGAAGCGTGAGCAGAATTTAAAAAAATTACTATGACGTTCATTCCTGATTTTCTACTAACTTGACTTATAAGCTGAAGGGAAAAAATGCAGATATCTTTAATGTGTTAAAAGTTTTCCTTTATCTGATAATTGCTATTTAGATGGAGGTGACCCGTGACAACTCAGACGTCTTTGACATCATGAATGACAAACTCTCCTGCTAGACGTTCTTGTGTATGAATACTTGTTAGGATATTATAATTGCAAAAAGAGGCCATGATCCTGCAACTTAAGATTTAAGCACATGCATCACTTTGCTCTTGGGAGTAGCCCCAAAGTGTTCTGTGGCTAAAGTCAAAAGCTAATTAAGGAAGTCTGGCACCCTCGGCCCTCCCACAAGTGTGGCCCCCTGTGGCCACTTTCCCGACTTGCGGCCTTGCCACACAGAGACAACTGGCTACGCAAGAGCTATCTGCTGGGCTAGTGGGGAGGTCCACCCTCTCAGATTGTGCGTGGACACCTGCTGCCACTGCCCTAGCAAAGCCCCGAAGGGGTGACCACTCTCAAATCAACACTTGCTGAGATATTATTACAGGCTGCCTGTTGACTCAGGGAGGCATCAGTATCTCCGTTATACTTGGGTCATGTTTTTCAAGGTTTACTGGTTAAGGCATTGGATTGGGGTAGAATTTCTAGCTCAGCCACTGGCTTCCTTTGTAACCTTGGTCAAGTGACTTAATCTACCCTGTGCCTCAGTTTCCCAACTGTGAAATGGGGATGTAGCTCTTAAGAGTGTTGGGAGGATAAAATCCATTAGCGATGTGAGGTGCAGTGATATGATGGCCATTACGGTCAGATAGCTAGCATAATTATTTTTAAAAGTAAAAGCTTAGCTTCTGGCATCATCCTGTGAAGCTAGGAATCAGGAGCCTAGGAATCTGTCCATAGTGTCTAGAATGTTTCAAGACTGGATGTCTTTCTGAAATATATGCTCATGCTCGCTCAAACAGAACTTATTGGCTTGATGCGGAAATTACTGGGTGAAATTCTATGGCCTGTGTTATACAGGTCAGATTAGATGATCACTATGGTCCCCTCTGGTCCTAAAATCTCTGAATATTGTTTATCCAGCCCTGAGCAATTGCTTAAGTGTTAGCAAGACAAGGGCCATACACTGTATTCAATAGATGGATTACAGCGTTTGCTCAGTAGTTAGTGTTATAGTTGAAGTGCAGTACTCTGAAAAATGACTGACTGACTGTAAATTAGCATTGAGGGTTTCCAGGCTTTTTGCAATGACTGTTTGAATTTGCTCAGTGGAAAAGTAAAAAGTGGCTTCTCCTCCATCCCCCACCCCCCTTGCAACTGATGTGCCTGCAACTTCAACCTGAACTCAGAGTCAGGGTGGGCTCTTTCTGGCTCGTGTACCATTGCCAGTACTAGAGATTCCGCAAGGGGAGCTCCAGAACCAATTCACTGTGCATAATGGGAAACAGAAACCAGCTTATTCATAGTTCCATTGCCTCTGTAGTGCTAAGACGCTTTCTAGTCCAGTCTGTGTTCTTATACTGCGCTCATCACTGTCGTATCTGAACACGTTCCAGCAGTGCATTAAGCAATGTGATGGAGACCTGGGCTATCCACTTATACCATCATAGCTATGGCAGAAAGGGATGTATTTTATTTATTTATTTATTTTTTACTGACCTAGCTTTTCCAGTCTTTCTGGTGCCCAATGCTGAATGCAAAGTTGCAGATGCAGTCATGCCAAAGCTGCATAGAAGGAGACTATTGTCTCTTTGCTCTATGATGTAAAGCCTTCATCTTTTTAATCTTCCCCCCTTGCCCCATACCTCGTGTGCCAACTCTTCCCTTCATAGCATAGCTTCTCTCCCATATTAACTGCAATGTGTGTTTGCTTATATTGGACTGATGGCCTCCTGTATGGAAGAGAGGAAGTACTGTGGTCTCCCTATGTGCCAACCAACCACCTTGGTGTCTGAGAGCCTGTGTAGCATCTGAGGTATTTGTGGGTGGAGATAGAGCAGCAGTTGTTGGTTTGCTCTCCTTGGCTCTTCCCCCTGCTCTGAGTTCAGGTTTCCGCACACAGATCTAGGTGGGAGGTGTTACATCTTTGAGCAAGGTACTGTAGCTACAGCTCTGGGTCCTCTCCCTGGTTGCTAATGAGCAGCCACCTCAGCTAGAGCCAACTCTGGGCACTAGCTGGGGTGGCTGGAAACAGAGAGGGAGGTGGAGCCTGCAAGTTGACTCCAGGCTCTGTATGGATGGAATAGAGTTCCAGTATCCATGGACCCCTGAGAGCAAAGTCATTGGGAGAGTTTGCAGTCTCCCAAGTCTGCAGGATCCCCTAACTCCTCCTACCAGACGGGATGATGAAGCAAAAATTTTGCAGGGAGAAACTGGTAGTTTGCTCCTCCCTTCGGCCATGCCTGAGGGGGTTCTCCATGAACTAGAGCAGTGATATTCAGACCTCAGTGGTTCAGGAGCCAAATTAGCCATCAACATTACCCAAAAGAGCCACAGTAGTGTAAATTCATTGTTTCATTTACTGTAGTACTATTCATATTCAAACAGTATGATGGGAAATATTGAGTGTGTGTGTGTGTGTTTACACACACACACATACTCTAAATATTTCCCATCATATACATATATATAATGTTTTATTCTCACAGCAAATACGGTAGTGCAAGTTGATAACTTAACTGGTTAATAACACAATAAAAGCATCTTGATTGGTTAATAGTTAAACCACACAGTGTTTTACTATCACGCACTGCAAAGAGCCGCAGGAGACACATTAAAGAGCCATCTGTGGCTCCTGAGCCTCAGTCTAATGTGGCTATGTCGATACTGGCATTAAAGCTAAAACTTTTGTGGCTCAAGGGTGTGAAATCCCCCCCGCCCATGAATGGCAAACGTTTTAACAACAAAAAGCCCTGGTGTGGACAGTGCTGCTTCAGCTGGAGCTGCTCGGAAGCTACCACCTCTCACTGGGGGAGGTTTTATTTTGTCGCCAGGAGAACTCTCTCCTGGCCATAAAGAGTGGCTACACACCGCACCTTACAACAGCATGATTGCAGCGGCCGCCCTTGTAAGGTGTGCAGTGTAAACATAGTCTGAGCCAGAGTGATCTGGCCCATTGTGTTTCCAAACTGAACAGGACAAATGGACTGGGATTCTCTCTCTGTAAATAAACAATGAAATGTTATCTCAAGAAGAAACACTCTATAGATCTGAAAGGAGGGAACAGAGAGGAAAGTGACAATGAGTCATAAAGGTGTAAACTTTTTATAAAAAAACAAGTATGGAGGCCAGTGTTGTGCTGGACTTTTCTTTGTTGTTGCCACATTGTATCCCCCGTCAGGTCTAATTTGCTGTTCACTCTCCCCTTTATTTTTTCAGGCATTGCTACTTTCCCACTTTCTCTCTCACTGAATATCTGTGTTTCAGATTAATTTGCCCCGCATCCTTTCACAAAATCATTTTGTTATGTTCTGCTTATGCCTCTAAAATCCCTCCAGTTCCTTTGTATCATTCTGTGGATCTTGCCTGTTCTAATAATGAACTTTTTAAAATTAGAAATCTTCACAGTCTGATTGCCTCTTCTATTCTCTTTCAGAAATTGTCTCTAAACCAGAAATCAAATGGATATGTTCAGAAAATTCCGTAAAGGTGACATGTGAGGTGAATCAGAGAAACAAAGCTCTTTTTCGTTTGTTTCGAAATAACAAAACACTGAATTTAAAACCGCACATAGATGCAAATGGCATATGGAAGATTGAATACAGCTCCAAAAGCAGTACTGCAAAGTTCCAATGTGAAGTAAAAAATCACATTAGCAAGAAAACGGCTGATCAGGAAATCAAATGTTCAGGTACAAAGTCTATATTGCAAAAAGGTCTCCTAATCACAGCCCACAAACAGTTACAAACGTACAGCTGTCTCCAGGGTGCTGATTCTAAAACCAGGGTCAGCCCAATAAAATAACTGAGGGAATTGACATGCAGTAGGTGTTATGCAGTGCTACGCAGCAGGAAGCAAAAAACAAAACCCTTTCTCCCCCCCCCCCCCCCAGCTGTTGTTCTTTATTATTTCTACAGCACCAACAGTATCCATTGCACTGCCCAGATCATTACAACGTCAGGGGTCATTTTAGTTGGGTAGAAGAAAATTACCCAAGTTGAAAATGGGTCAGGACATCCGTTAACACCCTACATTTCCCAAGAATGGGCCTGAGTCTCCTCTCTCTTAATCCATATTTCCACTGTACGCCCATGTGGCTTCATTGACGTCAATGGGATTGCTCTTGATTTACACCAGTGGAAGGCTATGCCTACAACTTTGTAGGGCAATGTAGGGTAGATGTTTCCTACAGTGACCGAAGCGTTTTTTCCATCACTGTAGTTAATCCACCTCTCTGAGAGGCACCAGTGAGGTTGACAAAAGAATTCTTCCATCGACATAGACGCGTCTACACTGGGGCTTAGTCGACTTAACTGCGGTGCTCAAGTCACAACATATTTCCTGACCCCGAGCAACATGTTTAGGTCAATCTCGTTTTTTAAAAGTTAGGCTGCCCCAGCAACATTGCTCAGAGGATTTAACCCTCACTCTAGACAGTGCTAGGGTGACGGAAGAATTCTTCCATCAACCTAGCTACCCATGCCGATGGGAGAACTTTTCCCGTCAGCATAGGTAACGTTCACGCTGAAACGCTACTGCAGTGCTGCAGCTGTGCCACTGTAGTGTTTCAGCTGTAGACGAGCCCCAAGTGACAGGAGAATTAGATGCAAGGAAGTCTTGATCTTTTCCACCCTTGTATCTACGAAGTCAGTGGTGCCACACTGGTGGCTGGATTCTTTTGATAGAAAAGCTGGATGTCCTGATGGTGCTATTTAACATGTGCATATAAAGCATGGGCTTCCTTTGCAGTGAGCTTTTGGGAAATTAGCCACGTTTTAGATGGCTTAAATGGGCAATCAAGTAGGTTAGGCCCCAGGTCTAGATTTTCCTAAAGGGAAAAGGGTTTACAAAACTTGCTCTTCATAGAAACATTTTCATGAAACTTTGTTATACCAATAAAATAAAAACCAGCAAGATCTTATTAAAGAGGAAAAGGCAAAATACCACATTTATTGTGAATACAGAAAGAATCATAGTAAGCAGTTAGTTATAGCTATAACATTCCATTCAGTCTCATATTTATTCACACATTCATTCATTCTCACACACACACACACAGACACAGGTTCTGTAAGGTTGTTATCATAGTTACCAGCCTTAGAGTTGCTCATGCCAAGCCATTGTCCAGGTGGCCTGGACATGAGGAGGGAGCAGGGCCTTGTCAGATGCTCATCTGATGCTCCTGGAAGTTGGTTTGCAGAATCAGACCCCAAATTTCTCACTTTCTCGAGTCCATTTTTATAGGAGTTTCTTCCTATGCCAGTCTATGGGAATTGCTTCATCATGCTGTTGCTGAATCAATCAGCAGATGGCACATTCCTGACGGCTCCGTGCTGTCAGATGTTATCTTGCTCTTTGGTTCTCCCATTCTTGAGGCTGTTGGGTGGATTCCAATCTGCCCTCCGGGGGTCCTCTGGGGGTTATTTCCACTTGACGCCTTCTTCTGCCGATGGACACTGGATTCTTAGGCTGGCACCTCCCTGATCATTCAGTTATTATCCACACCAAGCATCCATCCACATACATCCTCTATCTCTATTTTAATCACAATTGTTAATACAACAAAAGGGCGGGGAGTCTCTGGGTGCTGTTTCTGTTGTTACAGAGTATTGCTTTGAGTCTCTCTCTCTGTGAATTGCTTTGAGAACAGACTCTGTCTTAGAATGTACTAACACAATTAGCAGCTTGCAAGTTTCACACGTAGAGGGAGAGAAACAGTACCAAAAACCAAGAGACCTCTTAATTAGTAATACCCTGGAATTTAAACTTTGGGGAATCAAACTCATTTGTGATTTTAATACAGAACTTCTTTAATATGATCCAACAACTTTAGGGGGAAAAAAAGTAACTGGAAATTTTGTTGGTTTGTTTGAACTGAGACAGTGCCCTGCAGTGCTGGGTAGGCCAAGCCCAGCCGCATTCGGCTAGTGTGCAGTCAGGGACACACACCCCTGAAGCTGACCAGTCTTTTCTTTAATTGTCCAACTTGGGCAAAAGGCAAGAAGTCAACAAATGAAAAATTAATCGGATCTCCAAAACCCTTTCACTTTTAATAATCTAAAGCGTCAATAGAAAAATTGTTAAAAACTCAATTTCATTACCTATGTGTTATTTTTAGTCTTTTAAAAGTAATATCTGAACAGCTTTGATGGCTTCCCACCTATGGTGAAGTCCTGTCACCTGTGTTTTCAGGAAGTCAGACTAGATGATCACAATGGTCCCTTCTGGCTTTATAGTCTATGGATCTCCATTTATACAATTAACTCTCACGTGTTCCCTTTGACCTGTTAATCTGGGCATCTGGCACCTTCAGACACCAAGCAGTTTAACAGTAACATCAGTAAAATTGACCATCAGGTGGTAGAAACCTACATCCTTTTCACAATGGGAACAGTGCTGCAGGCTTTACCTCTGTAGTTTTGCCAGAATCACAGCAACAGAACTGGGCATTTACCGCTAGTACAAAAAAATCATATATTCTAAATTAGAGATCCCAAAGGTTAAATCACCACTATTTAATATCTGTTGACCAGTGACTCTGCTCTACACGCTGTATGGTATACGGTTGAAGATACGGAGTCAAATTCTCTACAGAATTAACTCCTTTGGCTTCAGCGAAGTTACCCAAGCAGAGAGTTTGGCCCATTGACTGTACCTCAGTGAGTTTATAATTTAGATCAGTGGTCCCCAGACTTTTCAGGGTCACGCCCCCCTTTACCCTGGACGCTGCAGTGAGAAGTGCCACTGAAAGCCTGCAAATAAATAAAACCAGTCAGCTTTCAAAGGGGGAGAGGAAAGGATCCTACAATGTGGAGCTCACTGCAGTGAAAGGGTGATTGTCTGCCCCCTTCAGACCAGTGGCAGGGCCATGTTGGCCCACCCATTTAGCACCAGGCCCAGCCTGATCTGAGCATGAGAGGTGGCCCCTCTGCCAGCTCCTGGAGCGACGGAAGCGGTGAGAGGAGGCTGCTCCCAGGCACTTGTGGGAGAAAGGGCAGGAGGTGGCTTCTCCCCAGTCACAGTGGGCTCACTCTGGGATGGCCCTGGCGGCCAGTGCTGGGAGGTTACTGAACCAGGGGGGAGTGTTGCTGTCAGCAGGAACCGGGGCAGGGGTACTGCCACAGCGGGTCCAGGCTCATCCACCTTCCTGGAGAGTGGGAGCTGAACGTTGGCGGGGAGACGTATGTAAGACGTGGCACTGAACTGCGGTGTCGGTACAAGACTCACTACTCTGGCGCATGTTCTCTCAGCAGCAGCTGGGCGAGCTGCCTGAGGACAGCCAAGGCTACTTCTTCCACAACTGCAATGGTTTCCTCTCCTGCTACGTCCTGGACTATATGCAGGACCTGCTGCTGCCCCAGCACTTTCCTGAGTGCAGCCACCTGCAGTGGGAGGCCAAGTACTTCCAGCTGCCCGAGATGGCACACCCTCTGGCACAGAGCCAGGGGCAACTGGCTGGAGATGTGCACTGCACTGACCAGCCCCTGCCCCTCCTCAGTGATCTGGAGGTGGAGCCACTCCTAGCTGTACCACCATCTCGGACAGCGTGATGGCAGCCTGAAACAGCCAGAGGAGTGTGAGTGCAGATATAAGACTCAAGAAGCAGTTCTCAAGGTAGCCAGGGATAACCCTGTTAAATTGACACGCAGGCATGGGGTGGGAGACCACAAGGCAGTGTAGAGTTGCTGTTTCTTACTGTCACATTCATCTGTGTATATTAAATACTTGGAGCTTACTGCATGAAGTTCATTCTCCCATCACTCAGGGCCAGTCCTCACTGGGTGTAAATTGACATAATAATTAATGCCTAGCACTTGTATAGGGCTTTTCATCCATAGATCTCACAGCACTTTACAAAGGAGGTCAGTGTCATTATGTAGTTTCATTGACTTCAGTGGAGCAATGTTGATTTACATCAGCTGAGGATCTGGCCCTCGGTGTTCTTCGTTGTGACTTGGCTGCTGAACTCCATCTGTCAGATATCAGGGGCTGGGTATTTTGGGGTACTAAGTCTGTGTTATTTTTTTCCGTAGCATCAACAGCTAACAAAAGCATTTATCACACAGGTCTTGAAGAAATATGTAGCACAGGTATCATACCACAAGAAAGTCCAAAAACCACACCACCGGTTTCTTCCTATGCAGGTTAGAAACACGGGGGATGTGGGTGTGGGGAAGGATCAGCTGTCCTCAGTTCAGGTCTCAGTTAATCCTTCTTCCCAGCCATGGGAGGCAGTGTGGCCTAGTTGACAGTGCACTGGACTAGGACTCTGTAGACTTGTGATTTATTCCCAGCTCTGCCACTGGCCTGCTAGGGGGCCCTGGGCAAGTCACTTCCCCTCCCTGTGACTCAGTTTTCCCATCAGTAAAATGGGGATAATGATACTGAGATCTATGGATGAAAAGCAATGTATAAGAGTTCAGTATTATTATTACTTGAATCTCTTGTTTTAATTTGGCTACTTACAGGTGCCACTTTGCAACTCAAATAATATTGATAATGATGATGATAATTGTATAGGGTATATTTTTTTGGAAGATCACAAACCACTTCACAGACACTAAGAAATTAAGCCTTGCAGCACACCAGCCTGAAGTAAGTAAGTAAGTATTATTACATCCATTTTACAGGAGGAGAAGGGGAAGCCCTGGGATAATTAAAGACAGATTTCATGACATAAAACTCAAAGTATGTACACCTTTTTTCACACACATGTGCACACTTTCACATAACCCAATCACCCCATTTTGTGAGCAAAACTTTGGATTTGCAAGTTTAAATGGGGCTTTCTGATATCTATTTGTTATATGATCCAGTGCCCTGTATGCGCACACATTTGGGAGAGGTGTATGCAAACATAAACGTGTGCACACATTTTTGTATGTTTACAGACTTGAACCTCCCTTTCTGAAAATTCTATGCCAAGTATCTATCTTGACTATATGGCCAAGGAGGCTGGGGCCAGTAAGGAGGAATCCTCTTCCCCAGGCAATAGACCAACTGTACAGCTGCTCAAGGGGGGATTCTCCAGCCTGATCCCCTTCCCTAACCTGGGGGTGGAGCGAGACTGTGGTGCATCTCTGGGGATGCAGTTTAACCTGGGAGCCCAGCCTACCGAGGAGCATTGAGGCATAAAACACCTGAACTAGAATTCCCATGGGGCTCCGAGGTGCCATTTCTGGACCCAACTAGTTCACTTGTCAGCCAAAATATTTCCATTTATAGATTTTTTGAAAAGTCATAATTTTCAGTGAGAAGAAAAAAAAATTTCAGACCCGCTCTATTTGGGAGCTACTCTACGTTCGGGATTTGCGCATCAGTATAGGTGCGAAAATCTCCAACACACACAGGCTGTAAGTGGTAAAGGTTTGTAATGTGCACTGGTTTGGTATTCAGTGGGGGTGCAAAGCAAGTCTAAATGACACACTGAAGGGGTAGAAGAGGACTGTGTGTTTTACACCCTCCTCTTGGTTGCCTTTCCTGCTACCCACTTTTTTTTTGTCCACTGGACACAAGTTCTGAAGTCCTTATGCAGATACAACCATAGTCGACTTCAATGGAAGTTCTGCCCAAGGAAGGACTGAGTCAGGTTTTGATGCTCAGTATGTAAATGGCACTCATTTGCACACCCACTGAGGACAAAAATCGGTGCATATTACTGTACTTCACGCTCATTTGTGGCCAACTTACCCCAATGAGCAACTTTACACTTGTGTTGATTTTAGCCCCTTTCAGCCCCCTCTTCACTATTGTTAATTATTGTGTAGCACTTGTTTTGAGTTCCAGCCAAGGAAGAGCAAGCTCTGAAATACCACAAGACGAGCTTTTCTCACAGTATTTCCAGCTCCTGAAAAAGTCTGTCTTTTGTCAGACTCTGAGCACTACTTTCGCCCAGTCAAAGCATTTTGAAAGTCCTTAAAAGACCAGAAGGGCATTCAGATCTTTGTGTGTCAATCTAGAACAAGACTTTTGAGGTTTGACCATCACTAGGAGCAAGATGACACCTACTGTTTCTTAGGTAAAAGTCCTTGGCACTCCTGTGAATTCTGCCTCAAACTTTCCTTAGAACTCTCATCAAACAAAGCACATCATACACACATTTCTTAACTATGTTCCATGAAAGAATTCTGTTTCTCGCCAAGTTTTCTGTGACCATAAGATAGTGGTTTAACCTTGTTTGTGCCTCAATTTCCCCCTCTGTAAAATGGGGATAATAATACTTAACATTATCTCAGAGGGGTGTTATGAGTCTTAATTTATTGTTTGTGAAAATGCTTTGAGATGCTGGGATGAAAGACGCTATAAAACTACAAGGTTTTCATATCATCATTGTTATCCATGTCATAAGCTTCACATGTGTACATCCTCTAGGTCACTGGGACCAAATTCCAAACTTTGCCTTGGCATTTTCTTCTCTCCCTGTGATATCTCCTTCTTCTCTCTGAGCTAGGGATGCTGGACATTGTTCTCATTGGGAGCATTGCAGGAGGTGCAGTTGTCTTTGTCATCTTTTTGGCTCTGCTGATTTACTGTATCAGGAAGAAGAGAGCAGAAAGATATGAAGAACAGGGTAAGCACTTGAAATTTTCATGTTGCTGTATGACCACTTAAAATCTCCTAGTTCTTTCCACAAACTGCTCAGAGATAGTGAGAGAGAAAGTACTGAGTTTTGTCACACTGAAATTCTACACTTCAATTGCCAGTTTTAATCTTGGTTTCTGATGGTTGTTTTTAACAAGACAGTGCTATTTTCAAGGACTATTATTTACCAGTGAGGGGAGAACAGACCCTCCAAAAGCTTGTCTCAGAGAAGCATCCATGATTATTTGAACATCCTTGATCTAGATATAAGCTTGAGAATCTCACCAACACACTTTCTCATTAACTTTTATATATATGTAAAGGCAACCAACATCACTAATTGCATGTGAAATGTAGGCATGCCTAGAGAGTGATTTGGGGTGCCTCCATTTTTTTTGGCTGTGCAGCCTGAGACACTGTAAAGAGACCAGATTTTCAGAAAGTACAGAGCATAAGAGAGAGGTTTTGTTATTATTTATTCATCCTCTAAAAATCAGGCCCTGTTAAAGTGTCTCAACTTGGGCATCTAAACATAGAAGTATGTAAAAATCACTAATCATTTTTGAAAATTTAGACTGAGTTTTAGTTTTGGTGGTCACAGAAAAAGAAGAAAAGGTATGTAATGAGAGAAATCCAATTCAAGAATACAACAGAAGTACTGGCTATAAATAATTGACAATGAAATCATAATTACAGGTAAATCACATAATTAGGATGAACAGGGTTTAACTAGGTCCTACATGCTCATGAGACGTTTTCATGGTGTGATTGGCTTGACCAGCAACAGGGAGGACCATAAATCTCCCAATAGCCTTGGAATATATCCAGTCTGACTTTGCAGACCCAAGAGGTTTGGACAGTTCAGCAACTGAACTTTTGGTTGCTCGTCTGAACCAAACCCAAACTCCAGACCTGCTTGTCTTCACTAGAAAACTAAGACATGTTAGAACATGTCCTTGAGGAGTCATGAACATAAGAACGGCCATACTGGGTCAGACCAATGGTGTATCTACCTCAGTATCCTGTCTTCCGACAGTGGCCAATGCCAGGTGTTTGAGAGGGAATGAACAGAATAGGCAGTCATCAAGTGATCCATCTCCTGTCGCCCACTTCCAGCTTCTGGCAAACAGTTTGTCTCAGTTACCATGTTTCATTAACTTTGTACCTTAGCAGTTAGTGTAGACAGGGACTGTTGTGTTTAACATCTTGCCAGCTGGTCATGGGTAATCTTACTGGAACCAAAGATTTACCCATGGTCCATTGACACAATGTTCAAACTGATTTGTCCCTGTCCTCACTGAGTGTTAAGGTGCATTTAACTCTGTGTTAGTTACCATCAAAGTAACCAGGTACTTTGGAATGGTTCAATAGAAGTTTAGGGTCAGTTCAGTATCTGAGCCAGTGGGTCACTCAGTCCCTAAATCAAACCATACATGGTCACTGGCCTTTCAAAAATGGTAATAAAGTGGCCAAAGACCATTAGTCTACTTCATCTATGTGAAGTACATTTTGTATGGGTAAAAGGTACAAGATTGATTGCTGTTGTGTGTGGAGTCCTCCATTTACCTGCAGAACAATTACAGCACAGACAGCGGCAGGGTAAACTTTTTTTATGCTGCCCCCTACTAATGTGTCTCAACCCTGTCTTCAAGGGGATCACCTCCAAGGAAGAGAGAGGAGTTCAGTCTCCTTGGTATATTTCCTGCTTGCTGGTAAGCTGTTGTAGCTGTCCAGAAGAGCAGGCTCACTGAGATAGGAGGGGATGGAACTGACTGAAATACCCTCTGAGAACCATGACCCCTACAAGCCAACAGACAGGCCATAGAGGTAGTCTGGGAGTAGATGGCAAATCCAGGTTTTATTATTTCATTGAAATAAACAGGGTCCCCAAAACCAGACCACTTAAGCAGTCAAATGCTTGCATAGTTTGCCAGCGTCCAAGCCTCCTTCCCTTGGTAGTAGCTGTTCACCATAAATAACAATGCCACATTCCTTTTTGACTAATTTTTTTCTTATTGCCCTTCTGTTTTAGTTATCTGGATATTTTGGAAATAAAAAGGCACAAGCTTCTGCGTGATACCTCTGCTAACACTAACCCCCAGCGCAGAGAAAAGCTTTGACCCATTAGAGGAACAGGGCCCAGGGAAGATCTCAGCAGCTTCTTTAACTAAGACAGGCGCAGGCTGCCCTGCAGACTCCTTCTGTAACCAGCATGGGTTATCTTCTGTTTGTTTGTACTGGTGACGTGACTCATGCTGAAGCAGTAACGAATTACTTGACGGTTTTCTAATTGCAGATGAGGAGACACCGATGAAAACTCGACAAGTGGGCGATGAATCGAAATATCGGGAGCTTCCTCAACCTCCAGTTCATGCTCCTCAGAAGCAGCCACGCCAGCAGCAGAGACTACCTCCACAGTCTCAAACTCAGTACCAGGCAGGGCCCCCCCGGCCCAGGCCACGCACTCAGCAGAAGTCTCCAACCCACATGAAAGAGCGACCGTAAGCATTTGTCCTGGAGGAACAGACCCTGTCCCATTACCTGCTCTGGTGGGACCTACCACAAAAATAACCTTGCAAATAGCCAGCAATCCCCCAGACTGGCTGCTTTCATTGTGGGAGATCACTGTCTATACTTAATGGCTAAGGAAAAGGCTCAACGATGGAGACGCGAGGTGATCACAGGTCATTAACCTTGGCCATTTTCTTCAAGTAACTCCATGCTAATGTGGGACATTTAGTCCTGAAATCTGCTTCCTTTTTGCTTCATTTGGTTGTACCTCTCCTTGCCATCTTCTGGTCAAATTATTATTATTTTTTTTTTGGAAGGCCCTAAGACTCTATTGAGATGACTTTCATCACGTCTCTCTTCCTATACCTGAACTCCCACCCAAACACCCCTCTAGTTGCTGCAGCCAGTCATTTGATCATATGGAGAGGAAAACAGGTGTGTTAATTGTCTGACATACTGGAGTGCTGGCAAGAAACTGCAACTTTATTTCTTGGCCATGACATGACCTGGTTCAGGGTTCCCAAGGCAGATATGCTTGTCACATGACAGGAGCCAGTATCCATTGGTGTGTGAGGTTCCTGTAGCACAGTAATACATAGTATTACCAAGTAGTCTAATTAATAGTATTGCCAAGTATTAATAGTATTGCCAAGTAGTCTAATTAATAACTACTTTCTCTGAACCTTGTTGACTCTCTCATCCCATGGCCACTTTGTGCTCTCAAAAGAGGCCTGCTCAGCTACTATGGTTGGTGTGTCACCTGGAGCCAGTCACATGTACCTGACAGGAAGAATTCACCCTCTCTCTTTTTCTACGATATTACTTGCCTTCAGGAAAATCTGGAAATGCTGCAGTGGTGTCTTCTGCTCCTCTCCCACAGCCCGTCCACACTGAGGGATTTAGGAGGCCTCATTTGCTCCATTTCTGTGAAGGAGTTAGTTTAGGTCTGATGCCACGTAATCCATCTGACCCACAGGAGTGCCCCAGTCACATGACCTGCGTCAGCATTCTGAAAGCAAATAGCCTTGTATTGACGCAGGTCAGGGGACCCAGCAGTTCCAGTAACTGCGAGGTGTATAACTGGGGTATTTACACATAACCATGAAGACCTCTTGCTTTGACAAAGGAGGACATGCTCGTCTGGACTGCAGTCAGCACCCCGTGTCTCTGGGAGACAGGGTGTAGTGGGAAAGACATTCTTGCTTATTCATAGGTAATGCACGTGGGGGGGGGCACGCAGATTTCTGCTTGGACTGCTGGGAGGAGGGAGAGGGCTTTGTCCTTCTGAAGTGTCTGACCCCCGGCATGCTCGGCCCCTGTCCCTGGCTGCCGGGGAGCGGGCTGTCGCCACTGACACTATCTCTCCAGCTGGGCGCTCTCTCTCCGGCAGCTGCCACACAAAGCGGTGACCTGCGAAGTGGCTCCATCCCGCTCCCCAGGGAGAGCGGCCAAATGTGCCTGGGAGGAGGTGCAGCAGGAGAAGGACAGAGCCCCACCCCAGCTAACTCTGGTGGGGCAGGGAGAGCATGGCGGCTGCAGGCTGGGCACAGGGCCGGGGCTGGGGGGTCGCTGGGCAGAGGAGACATGTGGGGCTGTCGTGTCCTCCCCTTTAGATTGCGGCCCCCCCAGCGTCAGGAGGCATGAGTTGTCTGTGCCTCTAACCTTTGGCGAATCTCATGACTTCTCTGATTCACAGGTAGATCAGCTGGGTCAGCAGAGGCCCCATGTTTCTATTTTATTCACTGTATTGTCTGGCTGGCTAAAGCCACCCCTCTGGTGTTAGTGACGGCACACGGAGCATGGGGCAGGGACGGAGAAGTGAGAGCCATTCTCAGTAGCACATTGGCTGGAGCCTGACACTTGTGCCACATAAGGTAGATGAATGTAGGGTAGTTCTTTCAGGTTCTGCGTCTCCAATGTATTTCCGTGGCGTTAAAAGGTGTATCCTTATTTCTCTGCCCATTTATAGCCTGCCAGGTGCAGGGAAGAGACATGGGGGGAAGGAGGCCCTTGCATGTCCCGCCAAGGGGCCAGTTGTTGTACTTTGCTTTGTCCTCAGAAGCTGGCCTGTATGGCTCGAACACCTGGCCCAGCTTTATGCAGTGTGTGCTAATGGTTTGACTATTTTAATGTTTATTTTTTTTAAATGGCTTGTACTCCATTTTGTATATGAGATAGCAGCATAAATAAAGATTAGAGAGTGGATGATGGGGCTTTAGCTTGTGCTGCTCCTGGTGTTTGGCTATCTGGATTTCACTTACTTGTCAATAGGTGACAAAAGAAGATGTGTGATCATCAGTGGCCACAGCACAGAATGACACTGTCACGCTCAACTCTATGCTCCCTTGAGTATCCACGGCGAGCAGGGACAGCGTGGGATACTCTTGTGCCCAATCCAGCTCCCCATTTTGGGCCCAGCCTGTGTCCTGAGGGGGCATGCTGTTCCTGTCCTGGAGCTCAAGAGGTTTAGCTATACCTATTCCTGTTCACTAGTGTAAGTGAAAGGTCCATGTTGCGTTCATTCTTGATCACCATTTATCCTGTGACATCAGCGTGGGGAGCTCTTGCATGGGGAGAACTGGGCTACAAGGTGGGGGAAGGGTTCATTCTGTGCCCATCCCACATCTCCAGAATCAGTGATGGGGGTGGGAGACTCTGTGCCCATCCCTGATGCCTAGTGCAATTTTGGGGTCAAAATGACAAGTAGCTGTAGCATTTGCTTTATGAGCATGTGTCAAGGTTCCTTCCCCATTCTGAACTCTAGGGTACAGATGTGGGGACCTGCATGAAAGACCCCTAAGCTTATTCTTACCAGCTTAGGTTTAAAACTTTCCCAAGGTACAAACTTTGCCTTGTCCTTGAACCGTATGCTGCCACCACCAAGCGTTTTAAACAAAGAACAGGGAAAGAGCCCACTTGGAGATGTCTTCCCCCAAAATATCCCGCAAGCCCTACACCCCCTTTCCTGGGGAAGGCTTGATAAGGATCATCACCTATTTGTACAGGTGAACACAGACCCAAACCCTTGGATCTTAAGAACAATGAAAAATCAATCAAGTTCTTAAAAGAAGAATTTTAATTAAAGAAAAGGTTAAAGAATCACCTCTGTAAAATCAGGATGGTAAATACCTTACAGGGTAATCAGATTCAAAACATAGAGAATCCCTCTAGGGAAAACCTTAAGTTACAAAAAGACACAAAAACAGGAATATACCTTCCCTCCAGCACAGCTTATTTTACCAGCCATTAAACAAAAGGAAATCTAATGCAGACAGACCAACCCTTTGTTCCCCGCCCTCCAGATTTGAAAGTATCTTGTCCCCTCATTGGTCATTTTGGGTCAGGTGCCAGCGAGGTTATCTTAGCTTCTTAACCCTTTACAGGTGAAAGGGTTTTGCCTCTGGCCAGGAGGGATTTTATAGCACTGTATACAGAAAGGTGGTTACCCTTCCCTTTATATTTATGACAGCATGTTATCCCTCAATATCCCCTCTCCTGTCACTTCTCTCTCAGGGCAATTGACAGAAAACAAAGATAAATGCAAGGTGAGGTTTGATATGGCTCCAGTGCCTGGTGACGGCTGTCCACTGCCATGGGGGGAGACCCCACTAATATACTTACTGCCTGGGAAGATGGGACCTGGGAATGCCATAGAAGTGCCCTGTGTGTGCTGTGCTCAACCATGAGGAAGAGCCTGCTTCAAGTCCAATCTGATTCTCTCGCTCCCTGGGTTGCATGATGCTAAGTGTGCAAGCAAAACCACCCCTGTGGCTCTCAATGCTTGGCCATGCAGGAGAGCTAAGTCTGATGCCCAGTCCTGGTCTCTTTGTACAGGAACTAGGAGTGCTGCTGGGTTTGGCCAACTATCCTAGCAGCAGTGAGTGCTTCATGCTGCCACGTGGGAGATCTGGGCTTGATTGCAGTGTCTTCTCCTGAGCTGCCGAGGGTTGGGGCAGCGTGTTCAACCTCTGGGTGAAGTACGTTTCCCAATTAAGTTCACAAGTTCTGATGCAGTTGTTTTTTCTAAACCAGCAGTCTGCGAGCCCTCTGTTCTCACCCCAGCCTCCGAGCGCTGCCTGTCACCAGCGGCAAAGGCAGAGACCTGCGAACAGCTCACACTTGGCAGGAAGCACAGAACCACAGGCTGCATGCGCACCCGAGGTTTCCGGTAAATTGCTGCATGTCAAGTCATCTCGCCCCATGCCTAGAAACAGCCCTGGCCTGACACTCCTTGCTGAAAGGAAAATCCATACAGCTTCATGACACAGAGCACTAAAAATGGGGGCAAACAGGGGGGCCATCACTACCCTGGTGCCAGCATCGGGGTGTGATACGTCACCTGCAAAGGCGCTGTAGTGCAAGGCTGAATAAGGCCCAATGCACTGGACAGGGAGAGAGTGAAGTCAATGGAGGGGAGGATAAAGGGCTCCTCTGTCCCTCAATGCAATCTACTGAAGATGTTCAAAGAGTTTATCAGGTTTCTGCTATAGCGCCTTTCATTCCAAAGCCTCACACTTGCTATGGGCTCCAGCCCGCTGGCCTCTGGACTAAGGTGAAACTCCAGTTGACTCCAATGGGATTTGTGCCCAAGTAAGGGCTAAGCAAGGAGTGCAGGATTTGGTCCTAGAGATATAAGACAGCATTGAAATGCAGCCATCTCTAGGTTGGAGAACAGAAAGCTACTGTCCTACAGCACATTGCGTGGCAATAGTGGGAGGGGAAATTCTGGTCAAGGTGATCAGGGCAAATCCCACTCTTATGAAAAGTGCTTTGGCATCTATAACGTCTATGAAGAGCTGACAGAACATTGTTCTTTCAGGACCCATCTTAAATCTCTCTGTTCACTCCTGGGTATTTGAATATTCCTGAGTTCTACATTGAGTGTTACTCGTGTTTTAAAAATTAACTGAGCAGTTTGAAATGAACCCCTCAAAATGCCTGAGGAACTTTAGCTTTCAAAATACAAAGGCTATTTCAGATCTGAGTTATTGTTATGGCTGAAAGCCAGCCAAAGAGAAGAAAAAGTCCTCGCATCTGAGTAAAGTCCCTGGGGCCTTTCTTGGTTCCACTTTTGCTGCAGTGTCTTTAGGGGGCAACAAGACATGCTTCTCTATCAATGAGTCATTTGTTTGTTGAGGTTGTAGGTTTTACCATGGATGAGCCAGTGAACTCCGTCACCTAATTCATGTTGTATCATTGAGGAATCTGGCTAGCAGAGTCACTTTCCAGAGGGAAGCTGGGCTTTCTCGCTGAGAGCAGGAACTGCTGCATGCCTTGTTGCGGGCGTTACCCTTCCACCTACACCTCTTTGGGCCAGATGTTGAAGAACCTCACACACTCGCAGCATCTGCAGCTGAAATGCATCGTGCCACATGAACTGAATAGTCAAATGGCTTGAAAACCATCAAACTGTGGCTACAGACAGGCAAGTGACTCTGTGAAGTGACCTGGTGTATTTCCATCTAGTGGTTCTGGATTCCACGGCCTCACTTTGCAAGTCAAAAAAGAATGGGTCTGATTCTCCACTCAGCGACACCAATTGTATGTCACTGTAACTCCACTGACCTCAGTGAACTCACAGTGGCATAAAAAATACTTCTAACTGCCAGCAGTGCAATCTCGCTCTGGCATCCACATCACCAAGTGGTGCCCCGCCTGCCTTGGATGCTACCAGCACTAGCAAAGAGTCAGCAGTGAGAATCACCCTGGGGATTCTCCTGATGGTGTGGGAGGCAGAGGGTACTCCATCTCAAAGCCCAAGCTGCATAGACTCTAGGGCTGTGTGAAGTTTCTTGTTTTGGGTCAGTAAAGTCAGCCAATGTGACTGCAGGGAGCACATATGCTGAGTAAGAAAGGGGCATTTTCACTGTGTCACTTTCTCATCACTGTCACACTTAAATGATTTGTTACATCTCTTAGGTTATGTCTACGCTGCAATTGGAGGTGTATAACTGCAGCATGTGTAGACATACCCCAGCTAGCTAACCATTGTAGTGAAGCCACGGCAGCACAAGCTGTACAAGCCCACACAGGATGCCTAGTATGTACTTGAATAGATAGCCCGTGCTGCAGCAGCTTCACTGTTGTTAGTTGAGTGAGTTAGTTCAAAGCTAACATGAGTGCGTCTATATGGTGCAGTCCCACCTCTGACTACAGTGCTGACATAAGTTCAGAGAGGTTTCTTTTGTGACGTACTGTATTTAGCAATTACCTAAGGAAGGAGCAAGCAATCAAATGCATCCGTGGGGTAGAATGTAACTGGTGTGGTGTTCTGAAACCTATTTTTCCCCCTTAGGGCCACCTTCCCAGACTTCCCTTGGGTTCAGCCCACTTATACAGGCCAGCAAGAACAGCTAAGATGGGATTTCTTCCTTTACCGTTGCAGCCTATCCCTGTAGTCCAGCAAACTAGGTATGCATGACCCTCAATGTTCCCATGGGATCCCCTTAGCTGGGCCAAGTACCCATGACTGGTCCCCATTTCCTCATTGGGGTCTCTGAATTCTCCAGGCAGAGTGCTTGAAAAGAAGGCAAATTTACCCTCAGAGCATCCAGAGGACAGCTGGGATCAAGGTGCCCCAGTCTGACTCTGAGTGCCATTGTCCCAGCTCATCCAGCACACCAAAGAAGTTGGCCTTGCCAGAATTCTGTCGAAAAGAGTCAGGAAGTAGTCAGCAGCCACGAGCTCTTAGCCACTCCTGTCCCCCTCTGAATTCTCCTTGGTCTGGCCTGAAGACTCCTCTCGGTGAGAGGCAGTAGCTGTGAAAAAAAATAAAGCCAAGAGGCAGAGAAGACCCTGACCATCTGCCACTGATTCCCTCAGTAGGGCAAAGACCAAGAACCAAATGCCTGGATCAAAGAAAACTCAAAAATCCAAATGCAGGCACCAGAATATCCTCCAAGACCTCGTCCTTAGGGGGGAGGAGTGGTTATCAGACTTGCAACAGGAGAGAAATGAGGAAGAATAGCTTAGAAAAGCCCTCCCAAGCAGATTACCGTAAGGCACTACTGCAGGGAGTTATGGCTCCCTTGGTCTCCAGCCAGAATCCTTGAGTGAGAAGGAACAAGAAGAAGGAAATAAGGAGAGGCAAAGCACTAGGCACTACCTCTCCTCAGGTTCGACGCTGGAGCCCTGTATCCTACCGCACGCGGTGCCACGAGGGGTTACGAGAGCACAGTGGGAGAGCTCTGCGAAGCCAT